CGCCTCGCATCCTCAAGACCGCCATAACGAGCGTGTCGAGCCTTGCAAATTGGTGCACCGGAGGAGGGAACCGGCCGGGTCACGTTAATATTCATACGTCAAGCGCAGCGGGATCCCCCGGTGGATCTCTTCGATCGGCCTTCAAGCGACCATTCCGTTGTTTCTTTTTTTTCTCTCTTTTTTCGTCCATTTGTTTTCCCACCTGGTGGACTCTGGAATTCGCAACACTACTAGACGAGGAATCGTGGAAGAGGGTGGAGGTCTGGATTCCTACATCCTAGTGTTCGATTTCTATTTTTAGATGCCGGGAACTAGTTTGCCAGGAGGCTGGGGTTATGGAGGACTACTTCGTTTGAAATTTTTCATCGAAAATTGTGCTTCGTGGACTGCATGCATTTTTTTACACCGTGGGTGAAATATATATTCGATGTTTGTATTTAGAATATGAATTACGCCTTATTATTATTAACTTGTGGGTAGCGGTGTCTGAATCCATTTTGATCCAGGATTTTAGGAACCTCCTGCACTATTTCAACTTACAGAAGTTAATTGAAACGTACAATTGTTTATGTTAGTATTTCAGAAGATCAGCATATTTGGAAGAATATTCCTTTCGAAACACATCTGAGGACCGACTATTAGGGGTATATCTGGACCTAAGTACCGTAGTCTATTCGATCATGTAAAAGTCTGTCTTCCCAGGATTTATCAGATACCAGAAGAATCTCACATTTCATAGAGGAGAAAGAATTTATACTAGCATTTTACGGTTCTCTTATGTTTCACCCAAAAATATTTTCCTTCCACATGAAAGACAGTAATTTAGTTACACGTACGATAAAGATCAGATTTCTGAACATTTCCCTTTTTCCCTGTACCTACTTATCCTCCATGAACTTGATCGAGATCAAAACTGCATAATGCATCATTGTATCCGCTCCTCCATATACCAGAGCTTTAATTAAAAATGCTGTTTAATACACCGTGAATTCTTGAGATCGTCGATCGGCTCGAGATTGAAGACAGGTTCCGAAGAACGCGACGTCGCGCCCGAAATGGAAGAGGTCCTAAGGAAAAAGGCGGCGAGAGAGGGAAAGGGGGGAAGGAGGCGGGAATGGTAGACTTCTCAATGTTACGCAGGGAATTCAAGGCAGTCGTTAGTATGCTAATGAGTGTCCCCGGTTTCTCGTCCCGGCTCCCGTAATGCACGGCCCGGTAAATTGTTTCAAATATTTCCCGAACATCCCCGCCTCCGTGAGAATGGAGCCCCTAACCTAAAAGTTTGAATGAAATCGCAATAAAACCGCGTGGACAAATTACACAGAATTCCTCCAGCTCGTGCAATAACTCCTAGCATTCTTTTTTCGCTTTCTCGATCGACCCTGGACGCCCTACGAAGATTTCTTTCGATCCACCGTAACGAGAAACCTAACCTCACCTCGAGCCCTGCTCGTACGTAACTACACTCGAATTACGTCATCTCGTGTTCGTTCGTAAACGTTTGAAGAGGCGAGGTGAACCACGATTTTTATACGATCGGTACCGTTATACCGCAGGGAATCTCGTTTCTTCTCGTTTTCTGCTATCGCCGTCTCCCGTCCGATCCAGCATCGATCAAGCTGTTCCCGGGGGTCGGAGCGCCACGCGCAAAATTTCTCATACGAATTGAATGTTTAATTAATGGATCGGTGGGATCGCCGCGACGGGGTCCAGGATGAAATAGACGAGTACAACACGGTTAGACCACGGGAATTAATATTATCATCCCGTGGACTAACCGAGGCCCTGATATCGAGGAGCCGCACGAAAGTCCAGAGGTGAGAATTAAAGGCACTCGACCCGACGACCGATCTCTCATCCTGCACGCTCTGACGCACGCGCGGTCGCTCCCTGACCGCACCTCGAAAAACCGCTTCTCGAAACGAACCTTATCGGGCGGGGCCCGGTTGATGCCCAGGTATCAGTCGAGCGAACGAGGGTGAGTCTTACGTAACCTGGAGGAATTTAAGCCGTAGCTTAGAAATTTTCATGTAATACAAAATATGTACGCGTGAAACACAATTGTTTGTTCGAAAGGACTTTGTTGTTGTACGGAAAGTAGATTGCTTCGATTTTCATAAAGAGAACAGATGGTATATTTGAAAGTTAGGATCCCTTATGTTGAATTAAGTCTGTCGAAATTTTTTAGGAACGCCAGTCCACGAATGCACTATTATTATTTCGTTAAGCCGCACGATACTCCGAGCAAAGCCTTAACAAACCCACGAACAACTCCTCTTATCGCAAAGGTATCCGAAGCGGAGTTACGATGGTGAGAAGCAGGTGAAGAGAGGGAGGGTAGGAGGATACGATAGAAAAGCCGGCCCGTAGACGGAGAGGATGCTTTCGAAGGCCTGGCATAGATATACGGACATAAATCTATGAGCGCAGCGTATAGACCGTCGGCCGTATTTTCCCCCGTTAGAGCCGATCCTAGTCCCACAAAGAGAGAGTCTAATTTACCTAAAACGCGTTATCTGGTGGCTCGGTCTCTCCGGGAAACCGAACGCAACGTGGGCCCGTAGGGGGGCGAGAACAGAGACAGCGCCAGTGGGGGCCCCCGTTGTTGCCTTAATGAGGTCCAATTACTATCGGATGGGTCACTTAGTATGCGGTACCGATATTCCACGGTGCACCACATTAGTGGGACCGAGAGACGAGAGCAAGGGTCAACACCCTTCGGGGCCCAACTAAACCGCGGCCTAACGAGAAGAGACTCCTCTTGGAGGGGGGATCGTCCTGTCGGTACGATAGCGTAGTACGCGTTCCCGCGAGCACGTGCGCGCGCCATGGTATCCGCCGATTGAATATTATTTGCGTCCTTATCGATCGATCCCGCGAACAGAGGAGGGGGAAGAAACCGTCGAAGGACATCGCGATGAAAGCGCCGCGGTCCCCGCTTTGCTGTGCTGTCCCAGCGCTTCCCAGCCGCGGACGTTTCGACGTTACGAATTGCCGTCGACGATGAAAGGAGGGATTCCTCGTTTCGCTGCGGAGAACTCGTACGACTCGAGGAGATATTGTTCGTATCGCGATAGAGGACGGACGTTGAACGTCTTGCGGGATTTTCTGGTACGTTTTGTGCGGTACCCTGTGAAAAATCCTTGCGCAACTTCGGCGAGATTAGGATCGACGAGGCTGGGAACTGCGATTCAACTCGTGCCATTGAAATTATCGGAAATGCACTTGTAACGTTTGTATGCAACGTGTTTCTTGAATGGGTATTTAGTAAAATGAATGTTGAGGATGCATCTTATTATCCTAATGCTTCTGGTGATGCCGACAAAATTGAAGTATGCGTACATAATATCCTGATTGATTCTATTATTTTTCTACAGTACGAAAGAGACTGTTTTTTTTTTGGGAACAAAAAGAATACGATGGAACTACGTTTATATAAACTCCAGGTAAATGTACGTCAGTTTAGTATGTAGTGCCTGATTAGCTGAAATCTAATTAAAATCATAGGGTGGATGCACCAGTAAATGAACACGTACCAGTGAAGGAAGCTTGTACATCAAAACGTGTAAATTACGATAACAAAATAAGCAAATGATTAAATATTAATTTTTTCAATTCCTTGTTTCATATTCAAACAGTTTTCACGCCATTGGTTAGAAAAGTTCATTTACTGGTTAACGTTCATTTACCGGGTAAAATATGTATTTTTTTTAAATTGATTAATTAAATTTTTCCAATTTTTCAAATTGTATCTATACGTTCTAAGGAGTATAATCTAATGTTCAGATGTCAAATATTTACTAATATTATTGTCATTTATAATTCGACTTTAATTGTTAGAAAATCTCTTTAGTGTTCATACATTTGTGCGTTTACCCTAGATGGTCCGGAAGAAATAGGTAAACTTCTATTATATGTACGACCTGGTTATAATGAACCAACTTGTCCCCCGACATGTTCATATAAACGGAGTTCTACTGTATTCATAAGAAGACACATAAATGAAATTTAGAAATGCCTTTCAATTTAATTATTCGGCTATCACTGACAATATAAAAGAACTAAAAAAAAAAAATCATCGTTTCGCACGAAACAATTTTTAACTCGATCACGTTCCCCACGAATCCAACACCAATGACGATCTGAGACAATCGATTGGACACGCTCGATTCTTCCGTCCACTTATGAATTCGCGTCGGGCCAGTCTTTTTTCCCCGGATGTTCTCGCACGTTGTCGGTCCAGCACGATCCAGGACTTTCTCACCTGCTTCACCGACGTGTACGTGCCGGTCGTTTCTTCTTTTCGCGATTCGACGCGGCTTATTAACCCTCCCTCTCCTGTAAACTGGAGTAGACAGGAGGTGGTTCGTTTCAGATTCAACGGGCCCCAATCACGTACGTACGTATCTCGTGTTCAATTGGACTTTCGGGCGGTGATTTCAACGCGTCGAAAGCGGTGTCGCGGGAATGCAAACAAGGTGAAACACGCGTGTAATGCGACCTCGATTAATTCGTTGTTAATTGGTCTACGTGAACGTATCTGGCGGTACCGTGTGCGGTACTGAGCGTTAAATCATTCCAATGACGTTTCCAGAAAGGTACGGCGGTACAGGTGATACCGCTTTGATCATTTCTGGTCGTAACACAATCTTCGAGGACGTAAAGAATTAGCTAGATTTCAGTAAAATTACCGTTCCATTGAGCTTAAACATTAAATTATAATTCATTAAACATTCAACGACTTCTTTAAGGGTATTCGAAAGTGTCATTGTGAGACTGAATCCATTCGAATCAGATCTCATCTTAAATATTATCGCGTACCTGTTGAGGATCAAAGATTGAAAATTCCCACCCAAGAAACGTTTCTCCAGTTTCTTCCTGGTATGAAAACGTACCGTACGAGGCGATCATTTTCACACGAGAACCAGCTCCGTACCGTCCACACGGTTAAAGGGGTTAAGTGCCGCGGTATCAAGAGGATGATTAAACGGATTCCTTACCTTGCAACCCTCGCACGTGAACGCTCCGAAATGAAAACCAGCCGCCGGCTCGCCGCAGACCTTGCACTGTTGGTTCATCTGCAATTATAGAAATTATGTTATTCGAAGGATAGTGGTGCGTCAGTTAGTCCCGGCTCATCCTTGGAAAGATAAAAGAGACGGAGAGGCCCCGGATACCGGGAAGAGGAGCTTGAAAAATTATTCCCCGGTTTCTTTACGACCATTATCGCCCCTGACACGGTTCGGCAGCGTGTACTAATGCTTCAGGCATCCGAGAGAGAAAGAGAGAGAGCATCGAGGGGCCCTCGATCGATTTCTGTTCGTTTCTCTTCACTGTCGTCTCTTCGCAGTCTCGTCCCCATTTGCACGATCGTTAACTTTTGGGCACAGCTCTGAAGACCAACATCCGCGGACAGAAATCTTCTCGGTCGGACCCTGGAAACTAGTCTAACCACATTTTCCCCCCTTTTTCCCTTTTCTCGAGTCGATTAATAAAGCCTAATGCAATTCGTCGAAGGATCGACATAGACCCATTAAGCCCTCTCGGGATGAATCTAAGTATCTTTTTCTGTTCGACCGGGACCAAGTCCGTTCCGTTCCGAACTGGGACCCATAAATCAGCGCTATCTAGGTGAAAAAAGAACACCATCTGTCGCGCACAGGTTCGTGTCAGGGAAATGGACGCGTTTCTCGAGTAAACTGGAATAAAATTAGACCATCGATGATCCGATAAGGGAACCTTGGCCCAGGATCTCGAGGGCACCTGGCACCTATCTTCTAATGTCGCCGACTTTTACCTAACCGGAGACGGCTGACTCGCATAATTCACCGAAATGAGATCTCTGATAACTCGGAACTTTCTTCGTACGGATGCCTAAATTCGTAGATAATCTCTGTGTACTTCCTGATAGATGGCAAACAATTGCAGCTGGTCCTAATTTATTATTTTGACCCCGTTTGAAAATTTCATCCATTTACTTTAATTTGAAGTACGATACAAGTTTCTTTATAACGAAAATTAACGCTCATTGAATTCCAGGTTTGCGAAGTGAGAAAATATACTGTTCGAAGTGTAATAAGAGGGTGATAAGGTGCCATTAACGTCTTAACGAGAATTTAAATTGGATGTAATTGCGTCGGGTTGCAACGCGAGCCCTACTAATAGTCTCTTTCCGATTGTTCTTCAAATGGAGGAGGAACTGACGCGACCGCGGTCACTCTTATTAACCGACGGAAAGAGACGGAGAAACGAGGGGGGCAGAATGAGAAAAAGAGAAGACGAGCCGACTCGCAGGTTCGTTAAGGTTTCCAAGTTTTTTCTCGACGCAGTTGTTTGACGCCAGCTCTTTCTTTTCGTTCCGCTTGCTTACGCGGCCACACTATCCTCTTTTCTCCATGGTCTTCAGAAAAAGGGGCAACAGGTAGATTTCCTCTTTGTACACTCTTCGCATTGTTCCTTTTTTTTTTTTACCAATTTATAGCCGAACAACGACACGGTTATCCGTTTTTTCAAGGTTTTTGTGTCACTCCGCCTTTCGATTGATTCTTGAGCGACTGGAGACTTTGATGCGTGAAGAGGCGAGCAACCAGTGCTGTTAAGCCATATTTCAAGAATATTAATTTGTTAGTAATTTTCTATACATATTAACTCTTCCAGAAAATATATTCCAGTTTTATTGGTTTCTACTATTTTAAATACAGTTGCCTGGAAATTTATAATTGTGTATGTATTTTAATACACGGCATTTTTACTTCTATTGTTCTGACATTCTGATCAATAATAGTCCTACAAATAAATGTTCCATAGATATTGCCTTGAAATACGATTACTCCTCATTCGTCATTTCTGTCTAATTGACAATTGTTCAATGTTGAACAAAATGTCCACTATATCAATCGACAATTGTTTAATGTTTGAACAGAATATCCCTTGTATTAATTTCCAATTGTTTAAAGTCAAACAATTGTTGAATGTTTCAAGTAAATACAGTATTCTCCTAAGAAATGATATCAGAAGCTCCGTGACTTTTATTCCAAAAAATTTGCAAATTAACCTATTCATCCCTTCATTACATTAATCGTTACCACTATCGATTTAACATCGACGAATAAATAAGGTTTGAAAAACGAGGTACAGACAAGGGCCAAATAGAGCAACGAACCTTCTCAAAAAAAAAGCTTGCAGAAACAATCCCCCAAACTGGACCAACATTAAATTCACTTTTTCCCATTGTTGAAAACGCATGATCGGCAGGTTACTCGAAGCAATCTAATAAAAGCGAGGTTTGTTTGCGGTACCGGGGGCACACGGAATCGCGTGAGAAATATATACTGGGAGCTTCGTGGTCGCGCGAGCAAGCGTGCAAAGCGATAATCTCCATGGCGAACGGAATATAGAGGGAGGAGGAAAGGTTAAGCGGCGCAAAAACGGGGCGCGGAGCTAATATCGGGACGTTGTTTTCCATCGATGGCGCGGCGGGCACACACACGTACAAACACGGGGCTCCATGGAATATTCGAGAACCCGAGGAGAGGCCGTTGTGGCACGCAGGTCGACGTTGATTAAGAGTGGTCTCGCGATTAACAGTAAATCACACAGAGCGCATCGATTCAACCTTCGTAACCGTATCCGTGGGGCCACCGTAGCCGAGCGCTAGCCGGACCGGTGTGTGACTATAACCAGCGAACGGTACCATTTAAGTAGCCGAGCCTATTGATTTTACAAAGGATCGGGGCTAGACATACCGGCAAGTAAGTAGAGGACTGATATCGATGCGATCCCACGAAGGTTAATTCGGGCCAAGGCTGGCCTCTGCACCGCGCACGATAGAGAGAAACGGATTTCTCTCTGCCCTAAACTGTCCTGCGATCCATGAAATCTCCTCTAACTGCCTCCTATTTCCGCCGTGATTTCACCGCTAATCGGAATCTTTCAACATGCAACCGTATCCTTTCTCCCTCTTCATCTCTCTACGCTCAATTATTTCGTGGAACACACACGTTTCTGGTTTCCGTAATCGGATTTCGATACGAAATCCCTTCTGTGATTAATAGCTCTTTCTGAATATTCATGCGCCTTAACTGCCTAGGAGATAGAGAGGTGCTCCCCCCTTATTACGGCAATGATGGTGATTTCAATTCGACCGATAGGAATTCGATCGTGTTTTCGAAACTCGAACGCCACGGATAACTGTGTGGAGATTCGAAGTATCGGTGGAATATATATCTCGTTAAATTAGTATTCACCTAGCCGTGCCCCGATAATCGGAATTCGAACGTTCACGGGATTCCATCCCGATATGCCGAATTTCTGTTCCCAGACAGCGGAGGTACGGTTCGAGAAGGATCGCGAGGCGAGGTTCTACCTCGGCCAAGACCGCTTATCGCGGGGCGCACGAAGCATCAGATAACGCGACGGCGGACTACCGTGACCAGAAGCGTACCCCTTTACCATTGATATGCAAAAATATCTGTGAACCCTGAACGAAACGAAGGAAACGACCGTAGTGTAATCTGTTCCGTGGACGGTTTGTACGAGGCGTTCGAAGTCAAAAGAGGAAGGGGGGACATACTCTGGGCAGCTCTCGTGTACACACGTGCGACTCGTACCCCAGTTTCCACCGGAGAGACCCAGAGTCAATATTTGCCCGGGCACACGTTAATGAAGTCGATCGACCTACTCCAAATATCAGCTTACGCCGATGCGCCTGGACGTGGAACGTACGACGACGGAACGATGAACACAGGAACGTGGGGGAACAGACACAGAAGGGGTCACGCACCCCTCCTGTCATCGTACCGCTGCCTCCGCGTAATACACGCGTGTATATGTATACATACGTACCCTCTCCGGCTACGTCGAGATGGGGGCACGTCGAACTTTACGCGCCATTAAACTCGAGTCCCGTCTGACGTTTATCCCTTTATGAGCGTCGTTTTTTTTCTTAGAGGATCCCTACGGTTGCTTCCCATTGTCCTTTCAACCCCGACAACCCTTTTCTTACGGCGACTTCTTACACACTCCCTTCGGAGTGGAAGGAGGGGGAACAGGAAGGACGAATATCGGGAGTCGGAGGGTACGGACCCGGTCAAAGGAAGATTTCGGGAAGATAGGATACATTGTGAAGACCGGGAGAAAGAGAATGTGGGATATCGAGGCGTTAAAAGGGCCCCGAGGAAATAGTGTGAATGGAGGTGTGTGTGCGCGTTCGTGGAGCCTGTTGGTGGAATTATACTTGAATGTAAAAATGAATCGTAGGAAGATTTTGGTGTTCTGTTGTACTTTTCATCTGATTGTGAGTTTAAATTTAAGAATATGTTGGTACATGTGATGTTGAGCCTCCTTAGAACCAGTGCACATTGCAATGTACAAGAATTTGTTCCGAAACTATTTTATATTCTTTTTTGCAGTTATTATTTTTAAAAAGTGCAGCATGTTCTGTGCAGCGAATAAATTGATTCAAAATAACAGGAACTTAAAACATCTTCAGAACTAACGTTAAACTTATTGTACAATTCTAATGTACAAATGGACTGAAAATTTAAAAAAGAACGTAAAATAACTTCAGAACGTTAAAATTATTGTACATTGTAATGCACAAATGGACTAAAAATTAAAAAAAAAAACGTAAAATAATTTCAGGACAAACCTTAAAATTATTGTACATTCTAATGTACAAATGGACTAAAAATTAAAAAAAAAAAACGTTTATTTATAAGCAACGTGTTTAGTCACGATAAATAACGAACTAGTAATCGCAGTAACACAGTTTTTCTATAGTTTGGATGTCATTAAAAAAAGTTTCGTACTGTCGATCGTCAAAAAATATTCAATATATTGTTCCTAAACTGATCAAGTACGCATCTACTGTTGGACAAATGCAGTTAGCAGGTTGAAAGAACTCCACAAAACAATAGTTCGTTACACGAAGTATAAAATGTCAATTTCATAGATCTCTCTTCCCCAGAGATCAGTTCCCAAGAATAGGGAATCGTTCTCGCAAAACCACTTGTTATTCGAAGTAGCCTCTCCTTGTCGTGGTTTCCACACCCCCGTGAATAATATAATCCGTAGATCC